ATAGTCCCTTGTTGCATTCTTGGAATACATTAAAAAAATCATTGGTTATTCACCATTTATCCTACAGGCCGTAACTTCATTTACAGGATTCTTTTAATGTTATTTCTCTCGACTTAAGCAGAGTGCACTCAAAAAAAGCCACTTAACTCACAAACCACTATGAATAAACAAGAAGCCCACAACGCTGCACACATTAGACTGAGTGCCAATGGTTTGTAAACACTATTTCATCACACTACGACTTACTGAAACACTCAATCCATTAGATCACACTCTGATTCATGTCTACAACGATACTATGAAGAGGGTACCGAAACTAAACAGCAATTACAAACTCCAAATACGCAGAAGGATTGTTCATATTTCGAGTTTCCATTTTTTCAAATGCCTTTTGCTTTAAAAAAATTGACTTTTTCCTTAGACAATAATTCAGATAAAAAAGTATGATTTGTCTCATACAAAAAACTACTTGAGTTTTTGAACAGCTGACTTGAGATTCGGGTTCCCCGACCCCGATTTACTTTCGTCAACCTTTATATAATATCGTTATTTTCTCAAAAAACCCTTTTCTTGACCTTAAAAACACGATTCAAAATTTTAAGAAACTGGCTTCAGATTCGAATTCCCCGACCCCGATTTACTTTCGTCAACGTTTAGAGGAAAGAACTTTAAATGGATGTTTTTTTTTTACCCTGATGTTTTTTTTACCCCCGATGCAGACACACAGACATACACACACACAATCTATTTTTTTTCATATGTCCCTCCCTACAGTCGAGAGAATATGTCAGACTTGAAATTCATAAGCTCCAATTTCAAATATTCAACTTTCATTTCAGCTACTCAAAAACTGAGGTGACATAAAAGACGGATATAACAGAACATCCTACCTAGTGTCAATGATTTGAAAATATGAATAATTGAATTCAAGTTTTAAGTTTGACATTATTGACATTTATTGAATACAGACAAAGAAATGTAAGTATTTTAATGAAAAAATTTATAACATCAACATTATCAAAAACATAATACGAGCTACTTCAGACAAAAAGAACCTATTTTTGTAATAGTATTGAGTTGTCGTGTTGTAGTTCTTCTATGACGTCTACTTTTCAAGGAACCACTGTTGCACTGGGCAGGATTTTTTCAGGCCGAACCAGCCAGTAGATCGGCATGAGTCATTGCTCATTTCCTTTGTCTTGTAAGAGTCACATCAACCTTTCAATGAGTTATACCTACCTCTGACAAATTACTACAGATATTACTAAACGCTTTAGTGACACTATTTAAGTTCTTTTGTGAAGCATGGTTACCAACTAGTGTTGAATGCGAGGGGAAAACAGAAAACTTTAAGACTTTGGAAGACTTCAGAGCTTCATAGGACTTCACAATCAAAGTCTCAGTTGTTTCTTCCTCAATTGAAGTACACGAAGAGACAATTGCTTCCATATTCCACAGCTTGCTTCGAAAATCGTTGGACAGATGCTGATGCTCTTTTAACTTAGTGACAGAGAATTCTATATCTGAAATGGCTCAGCAGGTTTTTCGACAAGCTAGATTTTGATCTTGTAATGGTCTACCGTTTAGATCATGAGAGTTTCCCCTTAGGATGTGGGTGTGAGGACGTGCGTATGAAGTTTGGATGTGGCTGTGTGATATCGACCTCGATAAGGGTAGAACATCCACACGCACCCGCACATCCTCTTTTAATTAATCTAAATCAGATATTACTGATCACAATTACTACTAGTTAAAAATCTAAGCAAATATATTTCTAAGAAAAGCAACAATGAACTATAAAAGATCATTCATTACGAACATCCTGATAAAAACCACATTCGTTGACCCTTCTTCCTTGCTTATTCTACACGCTCAGTATAAAAAAAGATAAGTTTTCGAAAAACGTCAGTTTGTTAAAATAGTGTTTCTCCTTCATTAAGTAGAAGCTTATCAAATAAGTTTCTCAAAAACAAACACAAATATATTCATATCAAGAAAACAAGATAAAACATATTTCATAAACAATCGACAAAAATATAACCTATTTAAAAATTTTCAGGTTTTTTTTTTAAATAGATTTGATTATAATGAACAGAAAATAGCAAAAATATCAAAAATAAAATTATCTACTCGTATAGTCTAATTTTCAATTATTTTAAAAACATATTCATAATTAACGAATCGCTTCAATTCTTTTCCTGTTTAAATATGCTCTTCAAACGGGCTTGTTTTCAAAATTTTGTGGAAATTCGTGTGAAAAAAAGACAATGTTGATTGTAAAAGATTGAATGTCCAGAAATATTTTCCCCTTTACTCCGTTATCCTTAATGAATGACTCCGAAGTGCTTCAAGCCACCATTTACTGGAAATGTGACTTATTGTGATATTTTTACCGCATATCATTTCAATCATTATTCGTTTATACTATAATAGTTAGTCACACATCTTATATCGAGGAGAATCAAAATGATTGTAACGCAGTGCATTTTGAAAATATTTAACGACTTGAAAATCACTGAAGTTGAGATGCCATTAACATACCTTTAGAGAATCATATCTTAGCAACTGAAAAGACTTTTCTAATAAAAATGATATCGACGAAAGCTGAGATATAGAGCTTTCGAATAATAGATTCTGCAGCATTGAAAGTGCTTCCGTAGCTGAGATAATAGTAATCGTTGGTGGAATCAGTATTCGACTAAGAAGTTACCCGTATTACAGTGGACTGAGCCCGGATTGGTGCTTGCGATCATAGTTTTTCCAGCTCTATCTCTGGTAAAAATTTGGTGAAAAACGATTCAGTTTTACCTGGATTTTCACATGTCCCGGGACTTTTGACGGATACTGTATATTTGCAAAATACTCCGTATTGCAATCATTTTGTTTGACTCATCTGGTAGATCTGTTTTTTTATTTCATGAAACTCTTTCTTTTTTTCTGTTCGAAGAAAAAGAAAAGTAAGTCTCTTATGTAGATCAATTATTTTTGTTTCCTTTATCTTATCTACTAAGATGTGCATGACATATAAATTATGCGTACACTTTCATTTGTAATGATACAATTAAAAGGAAGATAACATGTGTAATGACAATAAAATATCATGCATTTGATTTTTCATCGTTTGACACCTACACCGGTTGTTATCGTGCGCCACATATTATCTTTCTATGACGTCGACGTCATCCTTCTCTCGTTTTTCCGTTGCATACTTTTTCTTCCTTCAATGTCTGCTTCTTTTTGTTCTTCGTAGCAAAAGAAAAAATATCTAAATAAATGAAGCTTGAAAGGCAGCTCTAAATTGAATTAATTTTCCTCACGAATATCCAATGTTTTGTTGGTAATCTGTTCAGTTGATGGTCATCATGAATGTACTAGTCATATATACATCGATGTATGTTTGCCTACTATTCCTGGATTTGTCTACTGTATAGCTCAACAGAATATGGAGGGTATCCTGGTCGCGCGAGCACGAAATTTTGCAGCTGGTGTAATTCGACGAGCGAAATTTTCATGGAGTTCGATTTATTTTCTGGTTTAAGGAAACAATTACATTTTTCTTTTTACGTCTTCAATCTTTCTTTGCACAGCCGCAATATAGGAATGTGTTGAAGGCAGTGATTTTTTCCAAATTTCTTGAGCTTTCTCGTAATATGAAAGTGCTTTCGAGTATTCACCCATGTTATCATACACCAAACCGATGTTGTTGTAGGAAGCAGCCAAGTCGGGGTGATTCGGAGGGAGAGTTTTCTGACTAATTTCCAGATCTTTTTCGTAATATAAAAGTGCTTTTGAGTACTCGCCCATGTTTTTATACACCACACCGATGTTATTGTAGGAAGTTGCGAAATCCGGGTGATTCGGAGGGAGAGCTTTGCTTTGGATTTCAAGTGATCGTTCGTACAATGAAAGTGCTTTGGAATAATCGCGCATATTATCATATACCATACCGATGTTGTTATAAGAGACAGCCAAGTCGGGATGATTTGGAGGGAGAGCTATTTTCTGTATTTCAAGTGATTGTTCGTACAATGAAAGAGCTTTCATGTAATCGCCCATATTACAATACACCGCACCGATGTTGTTGTAGGAAGTAGCCAGGTCGGGATGATTCGGAGGGAGATTTTTTTCACGAATCTCCAGATCTTTTTCGTAATATGAAAGTGCTTTCGAGTACTCGCCCATTTCATCATATACCAAACCTATGTTATTGTAGCAACTAGCCAACTCGGGATGATTCGGCGGGAGATTTTTCTCAAAGATATCGCGTGATTTTTCGTAAAACTCGATGGCTTCATTGTATTGTCCTAGATTATCTTTTATCAATCCAAGTGCGCTGTAACAATACGCCTCATCCCTTTCATCAGATGCCTGTTCGAGTAACATTGTGTACAATTGTTCCGCCTTGTCGTTCTCACCTAGTCTCCATAACAATGAACCCATTCGTTCCCATCCTTGCCCAGTGATCTCCTTTCGTATTCTTTTAGTAAGGGCATGAAGCTGTTTGTCGTCATTTTTATTAGTGAGTGTAAGCTTAACTTGCTGTATGGTCATTCCATTCGCTTGAATTGCTTTGATTTGCTGAACACGAAAAACCGAATGTGTTGAGAAGAGAATCTCTTTTTCGTTTGGAAACCAACTAATTTCGCTGATGCGGGCGAATGGGGTACGTGAAACCGATCGATCAATAGTCATTTCGAAGAGAACACCGATTTTATTCAAGTCACTAGTGAACGGAGAACTATAACTAATGGCAACGCGGCGATCCTCACTTGTTGATAGAAAATTGTTAAAAGATACGAGTCCATCTTGTTTAATATTCTTTTCAAAATCTGCCTTGCTCATGGTTTGACCTCGAAATACAGTAATTGTTGTAGTAGTAGATGGATGGATTATTTTCAACTGTTCTAGATGAAGTCTCTTGATGTTTCGATGAACATCACGAATGAAGAAACCCATTTTGAGTAGACTGTGCACTTCTAGAGAGCGCAGAGCTTTGTTGACTAATTGATACGTGAAACATTGTCGACTGTACCATCGAATGGCCTTGTTATTATCGACATTTTTTTGATAGTCGGCAGCAAATTCATCGATAAGCTCCAATTGTTCTTTGTTGCTGACATACTCCTTTTCGTTACGAGCATACTCGACGAGATTGTTAATTTCTTTCTGTTCGTCAAAATCAATTTCAAGAATAATTTCTTTCAAGAGCTGTGTATACATAAAGGATGGTTCGATTTGATTCAATGACGATACACCAGTAATTCCAATACCATCTTGATCACATTGCCGAGCAGATTGTCGAACCATGTCGCAAAGTGAGGTAATTGCGGTGAAAATACCTTTTACTTTGGACCAGTCTTTTGCCCATTCTTCACATTTTTCTTGTTGTCGACAAAAGACATAGATTGAATGCAGCTGTATCATATCATGAATACGTGGCACGACACTTTCACATAGAGCTCCTGAAATAATGAGGAACGACTTTTCGTTTTGTATTCGTGACAGATAACCAATAAATGCATTTATATCATGAAATATTTCAATGGTATTGATTGTTCGTCGTAGTTGTTTGATAGAATTAAGATAATCATCGCTGGATTCATCGATGTTTTCATCAAGCCAAATCAAAAGAAAATTTTGAATAATTTCATTTGTGTCAGTTCGATGATCCCATTTTGGAATGATGCGATTTGAATCGGATCGCTGATTTAATAAATTAGAGGACGATGATAGTGTTACTGTTGCTTTAGTATTAGGATGAGGATAATTGTCGAGAGAATTTGATACTTCTGATGCACCACAACCCATATTGATTGATTAATTGATTGTACGTAACGTGAACAAATTATATGTGTGATGCGTTGTTAACCTAAAATCAAAAATGAATGAACGCTATTCAACGACAAAGCTGTTATATATTGACGCAAGTTTTCTCTGAACACGAGTTTTTCTTCTCAATTATCAGTGTATGTGTTTCATTGATACTCAAGCAGGTAGCCTGGCTTCAAAAGAAAAACAATGAATGTGGGCATGGGTGTAAATATGAGTATAGCATTAAACTTTTGAAAAAATTCCATGATTTTTAAAGACTGACATTAAAACACTGCAACGATTATGTTTTTATACAGAAATACAGTTGTGAATGAGGCATTTCGTTCTAAAAAAAAAAGCATTGGCACTACTGAAATTCGAACAGAGATCTGCTAAATAAACACTTGTTGTATCGTTCATATGATGAGTGTGGGTGTTACTTGCTTTTCACTCACGTCCACACTGTACGTTATAAACGAATAGCCGTGGTCGAACAGCAATAGGTTAGAGCAATGAATAAATGAATACTTGCCGAACGCAGGAGATCTGCAGAAACTCGTTTGTCTCCTTAAATAGAGTTTATTTCTTCTTTTTGTTGATACTTTTTTGGTCGGTCGTTATACGAGTGTGTGTGCATATGTTACTGAAGGATTTCGTATCTTTCGTTTCAAGAATGCAAAAAATGAAAGTCTGTATCAACGAACAACAACAAAACGAATGCATCGTCATCGAGAGAAAGAAAAGAATCGAAAAATCATAATATTGGGTTGGCAAGAAAGTTTTGCGTCTTTTTTGTATTATCTTAGTAATATAAAAAAGACGCAAAGCTTTCTTGTCAACCCAATAGAATGAATGTTGCTCTCGTTCTTATCAAGCGTCCTTTTCTACTTAGTAGTGGATATGGGTTGCTAAAAGCGACGTGTTTGAGGGCGGCAATGCTAAAAGAAACAAAGAAATTCATACTGGAGACATGGTTTTTCAATGCAGGAACAACAATCCAACCTAAGAATGTTAGTCCTTATTATCATTGAGCAACTGACTGTTTTGCTGATGGATATCACACTATTAAAATTGATCTCGTGAGAGATATCAAATACAGGTATGTTAATTATGTGTGTTGACTAAGATGGATGATAAGTAATAGCAAACAACACACATGTTGATTCTCACTCACGCTTACATATCCACCCTGATTAGTGTATCATCTGAAATCATAAAATATATTGGCTTGTTTGAAATAATCTTTAACAAAAATGTAACCCTTTTTCTTTGTTTTTCTTTCAGATACAATTTAGTAGATATCTATCAATCACCTATCATATGCTCAACTGACAGACTTGTTGGAAAACATGATTTATGTATATACATATAAGGTGGCCAAGAGGTTCTAACTCGATTAATATAATAAACTTTTATATAGTAAAGGTGTGGGTATCAGGCCTCGTAGTCGTCCTATATTTCCTATATCTTTAGAAATAATCCTATAATGTCCTCTTTTTTAGGTATTTGTCCTATATTTCCTATATATTTCGAAAAAGTAAAGATTATTCTGAAGCGAATCATATTTCAGTCAGAAAATATACACACTCTTCTGTATAAATTACCATTAGCTTCGACAATAAAACTGATAGCATGTAACGACAGTATAATATTGATTGATGGTGATGATAAGAGAAATAAATTCATAAGTAAGAAGTGATCGAAAGTTACAGAAGTCTTCATGATAGTGAACTGCGATGCCAAAATTTTGGGATCTAAAACGCGACTCATACTATGAAATTTCCCAAAACATTTCTCGTCTAATCCAAACAAAAAAATTTTAGATTCCAGCCCCGAAGGTTTTTTTGCATTTTGGCGACATTAATATCATTTTGATGCGTAAAATTATTGCAAATGAATAATTAAACGAATCAGTAAATAGTGAAATCAGTAAATAGTGAACATCGTATATTACTGTAGAATTCATTATTCTTGGTGATAGGTTTTCAGAAACCACAGAAACAAAATGACCAAAAACGTTTTCAGAAAAAAACGCTTTTTTTGCTATTTGTAAGCATGAATCTCTCTAATGTTACTAACATTTCTTGAAACTTATTCATAATGCTAAAAATAGTAGTTATAATTTTTCATTAGTCAAAAAAATATCAATAAGAAAGTTACGGCTAGGCAGAAGTAAAAAACCTTGACTGTTTTACGGGTATAATTCCGAGATTGACTCCGAAAAAAAAAAATTTTAGCCACTTCGTTGAAATCGTAATTGAATTTTGGAGTTCGGTGCAGTTCATTATTTAATAACTACTCAAAAGAAAAGAAAAGTTGCATTTGCTAAACAACTACAGCAACAAAACAAGAAACAAAAGACTTAAGTTGATTTAATCCTAGTATCAAGTGAAAGAGATTTTTTCCTGTCATTCATTTATATATTTGCAAATAATTATTTATGCAATTTTTAAACCTATTCAATGTCAATAATCACGAAGATAGATATAGGAGTGACATGGGCGAGAGTGAGGGCATAGTACCGCCTCAAACCTTTCAAAAATGAGAACAACTTCCCATCATTTTTGGGAAACTTCAGACACACTTTTCTTCATTTTCGAAAAAAATACACTTGACCGAACAAATGAAATAAATTTACTCGAATTAGTCACACATCCATACACCAGTCATCTGTATTCAACACGGGTTGTTCACATGTTTTTCCATATTCAAAAGTACCTCCACACCTGCTTTGACCTCCTTGCGTCCTCCTCCCCCTAGTCAGAGAATATAAGTTGTTTATAGAAATATATTTAGGTGTTTTTTCTATGCATTTTTCTTACGTTCTATTTTATATTATTCTTATAAAGATATTAGTCAACAATATTTTAATAAATCAACTAGAGACTATTATATGATTTTTAACGTTTTTTGGATCGAACTCTCTTAAATCTCTTTTCTTCAGTAATTGAAATGTGTAAATATATATATATATTCGTTTTCAATTAACTTGATAATTTCGAGTATAAACTGTTTATGATCGTAGGAGCAATTGTAATGTTTGGCAATTCTGCTAAAAGCTTTCTTGTGGAAAAAAAAGTAGTCCTATATATTTCCTATATTTTTATAAAAATCGTATAAAAATATTGCTTTTAAAGTCCTATATTTTCCTATATACTCAGGACGGATCGCTACGAGGCCTGGTGGGTATAGGTGGTAAAAGAAACCGTACCCGCATCCGAAGTTTGTTGGAATTTCGATACGGTCTATGAACAAAATTTTAAAGAGAAAGGATTAGCAAGCGAAAGTGGATATCCAAAACGAAAAGAGTTAAGAAAATGTTTTGAATTTACCGATATTGACGATCTAAAAAATTCAAAACGGTATAGTAAAGTCTTTGCGACAGAAAATTTCATCAAAACAATTTCGGACAAAGATGAGCAAAATAAGCGATACCAAACTGATTATTTGAAACCACTTAACATGATATTAATTCATAGAATGGATAAAGAATTGTGTTTTATTATAGTTTCTGCCTTGAAAGCTAAAAATCTTATTGAGTTATGTTATAAAAAAAAGACCCTAAAGTAAGCATGATCCATATCGATGATGTTAATGGTTTTACCATGGTCCCAATAAATGCTATACTATTAACAAAAGAAGAAATCAATAATGCCATAACTGTCATCCGATTATTTAATGAAGATTGCCGCGTTATAAGATAGAAGAAATCAATGCGATAAAAAAATGCGTTGCCTTTGTTGACAGAAGTTGTCTTCATGAAAACAAGATAACATTCGAGCTAATTTATAGCGAACTTGAATCTAAACATTACATCGTGAACGGTTTTATGACTTGTAAGCTCGCGACTAAATTAACTGATCAAAATGACTAAATCTTAGTAGAAACAGAAATCAATTATTGAATTGATCTTCAAAGTCAATTTCATATGATTATTCATGGAAGTATTGCAGATGCTGTTGAGAATATTTGGAGGTTACCTGGGCTAATTAGACAGTTGGTTAGGATTAGAGGGAAAAGTAAACAATACCAGAGGAGCGAATTAAGAGACATACTCGATAGGAACCTCGAGTAAATTTATTTTCTATGCTTTTCAGTACTTCTCAATTATGCTTCTGAATAATTCACTTAAATGATTTATTGAAGTGTATAATCTCTTGCATTTTAAGATATTTCGTTTCATCCCACAAAAACCAAACCTTTTTAAGTTATTTTATTGATGCATCAAAGTTTTTATCGTATTAGTCCGGTTCTAATTTCATCATGATAATCATTTTAGCATCAGAACGTGATTTATTATTATTATTTGATAGTAGAAAACATCTATTACACTTTATAGTAATACTTGAGGTTGTTGCCATATAACTGTTCACTTTCATTTCATCAACATTTCATATCTATATTTTAGTTTTACTTATTGTTTTTTTGTGTAATTATGCCTTTATTAGTAACAAAATTTTATGTTAATCTTGCTAACTATTTATGTTGATTATAGTAGTCTTTGTATTTTATATATTTTATACTATATCGTGATTAACTTATTTTGTTTTCTGTTTTTAAGTTTTTTAATTATGGTTTTCATCGGAAAATTTAATTATTAAATAAAATATCTGAGAAATATCGAATAATTAATTATAGAAAATGATTTGTTTCATAATAGTAGCTCTTTTTTCTATTTTATTCCTTTTTCAATATACTTGCAACAAAATAGTTTCTATATGACCTTTTTACCTTGTATTGCTTATCAACAACTGTATTTAAAATTAATAAGCAGAACAAAAATACTGATAAATTGTTATAAAACTTCGAATAAAAAAAATACATGCATAAATAGATAATGATGAAAGATAACTAAATGTTTTTGTTATTTCAATAAAATAAATCAATGCTAATGATTGACTTAAAATAATAATAGAAAGGATAAATGAATATGAAAAATATTTTTCAGGATTTTTTAAAGTTAAATATTGAAAAACGCATAATAAAATCTGATGAATATATAGAAGAAAAGAAAATGAAAAAATAAATAAATGAATTCGATTGAATAAATAAGAATTTAATAATGTTAAATCGTTAAAATAGTTTTCATGCGATTGTAGATTATTGATACTATTATTATTATCAGATAAATTGAATTTTAATAATTGAAGACTTTCATTAATATTCTTTTTTATTGTCATTAAACCATCTTTTTCAATAAATTCGAATATTTCGAATTTATTTAAAATATTTTGTATTAATACTTGATTTGTATGATTCTGATTATTTTCAACTAAATCTTTTATTAAATCATGTAAATTCATTTGGTTTGTAGTTAATATATCAATAGCTTGACTAATTGGTTGTACTAAATTTTTTTCATGTCTTATTATTGAATGAAAATGTTTATGATCATCAATCATTTCTTTATTAGAATATATTTGTTGATTTTGAAATTGACAAGTTGTTTGTATGGATAAATATAAATTAATACCATATAGAACTGAATCTATTAATCCTACACTAATAGTAATAATTAAACGACACGATGCTACACTTGTAGAGGAAACGTTAGCGTTAATTAAATAATAATAAAAAGATGTGCTGAAAATAGGTCCAATAATAATGGTTGTCAGAATAATAAAGATAAATGAAAAAAATCCTTTAATGAAATTGAACATTCCAAAAAATATTTTTCCCTTAATACATCTTTTTTATTTATTTACTTGAGTAGTACCTTCTTGACAAGGTAAGCTTTGTATAGTGAATATCAACATTGCTATACGCAAAGGCACGACTGTGTGAATAAAAAAAAAAAACATGATTGCATATAACCGTTCCTGTTTTTTTTCCTTTTGAAATTATTATGAAAGAGAAGAAAAAAAATGAGAATGTGTAGTGACGCATACTGCTTTTTTTAATATCACTATATAACAAATAAAACATTTGGTGCACATTTGATGCGATAGGTTGACATTAAACTTGACAGAATAATTTCAAACATATTAACAAGAAGGGAATTGATAACTAATGAAATCGACCCTCGTGAGAAATTTGATTTTTTCTATAACAAACTTTCATATAAGATGTCTGAAAGAGATTTTTGGTGAAATTAACTCTATAAACACTTGTTTGTGTTGTGCCTAGACTGGTTGAAATAATCAATGACTAACTGTCACATGTAAATTGAATCCAACTATTGATGATAAAGAATAGCTTTAAAATATGGAGAAAAAAAACAATGAACTGTAAGAAAAATTCGACGGTACTAATTTTAGATATGATTGTAGGCATTGTTGACTAGTATTTAGTAGAATTCAATCAGAGAATATGTGAATGAAGTACAACTAATATGATATTCTGAGTCATCATGTAAAACTAAGTCGATCTATGTTAGTTTCAAATATTTTTATGAACTTTTGTTTTTTTTTTCGCCAATAAATTAAATTATTTAATTAAACGAACATGCACTTGATCAAAAAGGGTACGTTTAGATATTTTTTTTTTGAATTAAGATTTTATTTGTACAGGGTGGTAAATAATATTATTCCAGGGGGGTAACAGTATGATCTCGAATCGGAGATATCATGAATTTTATACCAAATGAAAGCCCGTGAAAAATGGGGTTTAGTGATAGTAAATAGTAAGACTTTGAAGAACTTTCGTGTACCAAATTTTTAAAAACAACGAAATTTTCTTTCAAAAACACGTTAAAAATCATTTTTCATACATTTTGAGACATTGAAAACGAACATTTTTTATGAAAACGAAAGAGAAATGATAACGATGATGATATATGACTATGACTCACACAATAAGATGGTTCTTTGCAGTGTTTTTTCGTTTGTTATTTCAAATGGCTGGCGCTTATGATACCGAACAACAAAGAATGATTGATAGAATTAAATGCATTACTTTCCGAGAAGCTCGTGATGCTGGTGCAACATTTATAAATAGACAATGGATTGCCGACAAAATTCACCGTACGACTCGATTTGTTACAGAATGGTGGGAAAAATCGTGTGACCAATGTTTTGCTGATTATTCGAATGCTGGTCCTAAACTCAAGTTATCGAGAGCTGCTCAGGACATTATTCGTGAAGCAAGTGGTCACCAACGGAAAAGCGGTTCTGTCGTGGCGAAAGAGATTGCAAAGAAACAAAAAGAATATGTTACTCGACAAACAGTTAATAACTACCGTCGTAGGGAAGGATTAAAGCCTTTTCATGTTATTTCAAGACCGTTAAAATCTGAAACTCATATATCAGATCGATTATGGCTCTGTGATTGGTTGAAAGATTGGACTGAAGAAGATTTTCTTCATCTGGCACCATCAGATGAATTTTATGTTTGGACAGTTCGCAAACCAAATTATCAAAATGATAGGATTTGGGCAAAAAGTGTTGAAGATATTGAAGACGATGAAAGGTATCGCGAAATGGTTAAAAACCAAGCGTGTATCGGTATTTTTATCATTTTCACCGCGAAAAAAATGCATTGGGTGATTAAAGACAAAGGTGAATCTTGGACCGGTCAATATTTTCGTGACATTATTTTAATGCAACACGTATTTCCATTCCTCACCGACGAGGAAAACGTAATTGATCTGGATAATGTGATATTTGTTCACGATAAAGCACCGTGTATGCGAGCAAACATGACTCAACATCTGATTAGAGATAACAAAATCGAGTTTTGGGGCAATGATATTTGGCCTGGTAATTCGCCCGATCTCAATGCGGCGGAACATATTGGATCAATAATGAAAGATGAAGTTGAACAAAAAATGTTATCGGAAACTGGACATAATCGATATAGTGAAGACACACTTAAAAAGCACATTGCGGATGTTTTGACGGACATGGAAGAAAATACCGAATTGTTTGAAGCTCTTTTATGTTCGTATCCATCTCGACTTCGTGCAGTAAAGAGTGCTAATGGTCGTCATACTGATTATTGATTGTACTCAATAAATAATAAGAAAATAAACAGTTGTACAACATATAGTTTAGCCCCGAACTTTTTCGATGAACTGATTTTATAATATTTTATGTCGATAAAAATCGTAACGTTTGATAAATTAATACAAGAAAGTTCTTCAAAGTCTTACTATTTACTATCACTAAACCCCATTTTTCACGAGCTTTCATTTGGTATAAAATTCATGATATCTTCGATTCGAGATCATAGTGTTACCCCCCTGGAATAATATTATTTACCACCCTGTATCATATAAATGTCACATCTTGGCACAATGATACCATTTAAATTTTCTGCATTACAATCAAAAGTCTGAACAAAAATATATATTATCGAATTTGATTAATAGAAAAAAAAAGAGTTTTCTACTTGAAAACTTTTCTTTGATTCAAAGGTAAAAAGAACGTATTCGATTTCTTACAATTCAAGGTATTAGAAAAGAAATTTCATTTAGTTCAAAATAAAAATCTTTTTAGTTACCAGTAGCCATCAAAGTACGATTAAGCTTAGGATCTTTATCAATTTGAATTGATTGTTACATATCAATATTACTAAATTATCGGTAACTATCAAAGATTTATTATAAAGTTGCATTACTAATATATACGAAATGCTTTCGATTATATAAAAATTGGATAATACTAGCTTGAAGTAATGCACGAATGATTTGTTTGAAAAATGTCTCTTCATCACTAATTATATCTTATTCAAATGTATTTTAAAATATTTTAATTTAGTAAAAATAAAAAACCATAATTTTTGTGTAACAAATACGATTAATTTACTTTGTAACTAAGTTTATTAGAACGACCAAGAAATATTTTAATAGGAGTAGTTTCATCAATTTTTATTCCATTTAATATTTGTCATAATTCAAAGTAATCATATTCAATAGAAGATAATAAAAGTACTGTTAAGATTGTTTTTGACTTTCTATTTATTTCAATTTCAATAAGTAAATATATCGAAATACTATTAAATACATACTTAGCTTTTCATCTTGTAATAAGTATTCAACGTAGATTTCCTTTCAGCTACTTAAATCTCTCATTGATGAGTCAATCTCAATAATTTCTTAGGAATACATTCTTGAATATTATCTGAGAAGAGTACATAAAAAAATGATGGTTTCTGAATGTTGGGATTTGTCGATTCTCGACTGGAAAATGATAGACATTTGAAAGAAAAAATTAAATGATCATTTTCTATGAGTGGATTTTCCTAGTTTCGGGCAGAGTAGGCCACCAGGTTCTTACTTCCAAGTCCCTACTATTCTCTAGCCGTACTCCACTCCATTAGATGGTCAACTTAGTTTTCTATACTGATTCGAGAATGTGTTGTACATATTGAACAGCGCATAAAGAATGAATTATTTACTCTGTAGAAAAGAAAAATCTTCTAAGAACCTCTCCTTCATCACCGATAGCCACCAACCACATATGAATAACATTTCGTTCTAATATGTGAATTGCTTTCTTATAACATTTCTCGGGAATAAGTCAAAAGAATGATGAAGGCATGTGTCCTAAAATAGAAGGAATAAAATAATTTATCTGTGATTTGTTAAATGTTCCATCAACTCGTATTGCCGTTTTCTTCTCCACGTATGGTTTGATATGACTCTTGGAATGATGGCTAGCTAATCAAACTCTATAAAATTGAGAATTAAAACGATTCTGTTCGTCGTACCTAATTGAGTCTAGTCTTGAAAATCGAGAATACTGATATTTTAATGTGATACGTTAGACAATGTGTATTTATTCCTGAATAAGAGACTGAAAACATCTTCTCTTTCTTAGCAATATCTTTTATAAGCACTCTTATTTATATCGAGCAGCAGCAGCGTTTCAAAAATGAGTTTCACGGAAGCCTCAGACATCCTATGTTATTATTTTTGACACATGTTGATTCAGCTTCGTTTCACTTAAGTATACACACTGCGCTGTTTTCGTTTGTAAGTCGGAGAAAAACTTCACTGATGATAATCAAAAAAGTGCAACATTCTTTGATTGTGCATCAGGCTCGTCTGTGTCAATAAAACTAGCTACTCAAGTGTCCTTTGTACAAACAGTTCTTTTCTGAGTAAGATGAATACAGAAAAGTATGCGCAATAGGTAACTTCAGTTTTGGTCTTCAAAACATGATTTACGACATATGAAAAGATACATGTTATCTTCGTCATAAGGTAATAAGTAAATCTAGTGTTTTTATATAAAATCTTTGGTTTGGAAAAAGTAGAGATATATGTTTCTGCATTACTTCACATTGTATTTGACGTATACTTCTTGTTCAATGATTTTTCAATAGAAAATAGTAATGATGAAAGCATACAAGTGTTTTTCATACTTGCGAAATCAGTGTTTTTGTAACTTAAGTTAGCTCTACGTCAGTTTCTTCCGCAATGAATCTCCCACATGGAAACACCAAGCATGTTTCCAATGCCTTGTCAATAGAAAATCATTCTTTTTTCACTCGAATACGGTTTGTTGACATAAACTTGTGAAAAAAATACTTTCAATTTTTATTCGATTAGAAATACACTTTTTCATACTAAATAAGAAAAAGAAAAAAAATATAATGGAAGAAGGTAAACATTACTTTGATTCATATTTCTATGGTGTGATTTTTGAATGTTGTTTTTTCATATAAATATGATTTATTTTAATTAAACATGAAACAACAACAATAAGAATAGTAACATGTTTAGGGATATATTTCGATTAGCAAAGATTGCTCATTATAGTTGTAATCAACAAAAACGTTCATTCTTAAAAATTGTTAACCAAGGTAAGTTATTTCTGCAATACTAAAATAAGATATCTAAGAAGTTGTATATCATTTATTTTAGTTCATCTAAAACCAGGTCTATGCTCATCAATACCCATAATACATGATGTTCAAAAAGTTGACATGCGTGAAGCTGGTACGACAGTTGAAAGAATAGATGCATTCGCTAAAGATAATGTTACCCGTTCAGTTGTCAGCTGTTTTATTTTGTTAAGTTAAAAGTGCCTATAAAACTTGTTGTGATGGTAGTAATTATCGTTCAGCCATACATTCTATTGGAACATCATCACTTCGTTCTATTGTCAGACAATTTGAGTATGATCAGATTATTGATGATCGAAATCGACTAAATAAAGAATGGTTATTAGTCATTGGTGATTCTATTGAACATTGTGGCATACAAACCACAAAAACTGAAATACAATCATTTGGACTGTTAGATGCATCTGTGACGAGAACATTAGAAAAACAAATAGATGCTGAACGTGATCATCGACAACAAGAATTAAATACACAAAGAAGGAAAAATAATTGCAGCGAAGAATTTAGCTGATGCTGATCTAGTCACAGCACAAAAACAAACTGAAGGACAAAAATATATGATTGAACAAGAAACATTAGCTCTTACACAACAATTAGAATCAATTACTAAACAATTAAATAATGATCATTATTTAGCTGTTCAGTATTTACTAGCCAGACGAAGATTCGATGAATTACAAGCTACAGCTAATGGAAGAAATAATTCAACATATTTTATTAATAATCAAACTAAACGTGTGCATAGCCTGAAAATCTTTTCAGATCTAGAGAAACGAGATCAATGAATATCGATTCAATTCATTAAAATTCTTTTCTGCTTTGTAATTTGAAAAATATGAGCAATAACAGACAAGGGAGTTTTTATTATATGAAACCTGCATAATAATAGAAAATGAATAATATGTTCTCTCTTGCTTCCACGGTGATATATTTATTGAATTCGAAAATTTATCATAAAAAAAAATAAAAAATGATTATCTTTACAAAAAAAACGGACAGTCTAGTGCCAATTTCGAACTTAATACAATATGTTTACTTCTTGTCATATTGTTGACGTTCACAGTTTGATTTACTGGAATAGCCGATTCTGAAGCATCTAATTCTCTAAAGCAAATCATTAAAAAATAGAAATATCAGCAAATATGAAAAAAGTATGTACGTGTCTGATTGATCGAAGCTTTTTATATAGAGATTTGCACGAAAAGCTAATAAATCAGCATATTTTACAGGTGCTGGAATAGATATTGAACGAGTACAACGAGCACATGTGTAACATAAAGCATAAGTTAACATTTGTACTTGATTTGGTTTTAATTTATTATCGTCGTATAAAACATGATAATGTGTAGGACGACTTGTCCCCTAAAGATAAAGGTAATATGATGAAAAAAAAAGATCATCAAATAAATTCAAACAATTTTATTTACTTTTTCTCCATGATGACTATTTAAAAAGAAGTCATATGTGGTAGCATTAGTAACATCATGTGAGTCAACAACTGTGCCAGCCTTAACATTACCATTTGAATCGGTTGGAAAAAATCTTGTATGGTGTTTCTTGTTCACTACAATATAAGTAAGATATGGTCGATAGATTGGTGATAACTCAACACAAGCTTCTCTTGTTGCCATAAGTTCTTTTTCGAAAACATTATCGAATTCACTATTTGCAATTCCATCACGATAGATAACAATTGCTTTTGGTGGATAACCATGATATTGTTCATATTGACTAATAAGAGATTTCATAATCTGTTTCATATCTACAACGTATTCCCGACTTTGTCTACGTGTTTCCGATAATCGTTCTTGCATGTAAATTTCTTTGAAATATCGATTAGGTATGTCATCGGCTGATGCAACAACAGCTACAGTTGAAAATTTTCTAGCTGAACCAGGCGCTCCATGACTAAGATCAATACCGACATACATATATCGATGACCACGTGAGAAGAATTGTCTGATAACATTACTTAAAATATTTTCATAAAATAAGTCAGTGATGAACAAAAAAAATGATAACTCACGGAACATGAAGAATAGAATTAATTCCATCTAGTTTAGTATTGATTTTCATCAGAATATGATTCAATCTTGAATAATTCCATGGATGTATACCTTCGTTTTTCTTCAGTTTTATCATTTGAGTAACGATGCCGAAGCCAGATTGTAATTCACACTAGAAAAATAACATAAATGTTCTAATTCTATTTATTTAATAATTGTCTTACTAGTGTTTTTAAATCACCATATATTTGATCTCTAATACTGTTATTCTCTGGTAAGATAACGATAAAAAATTTACAATCGTCATTCTTTTCCATCATTTCTTTCAATGCAGCAATCATCTGACTAATGGAATCAGGTTCAACATGGTATTTTTCATAGAGGACAGGTGCCGAACACTTTATACCTCGCTCGTTAGCAACATCCATCAATTGGTTATAGAATGCTTTACATAACTCTTCATTCAATGATGATGATAGATTGATCAAAGCCCATACAGATGGAAAATTTGTTGGATGATGAAACTGAGTTTTTGTATTACTCCAAATACCCGGTGATTGAAGCATTTCATTATTTACATGAAATTTATCCGTATAAATAATTTGAGGCATAGGTAAAATACGCGCCGGTATTTTAAGCATATTGACATCGACATGAAAATTCCATGCATTGATAAACGGATCCTGTTCAAAACATTGTTGTTCTGGGTTCTTACGAATTTCCATGACTGATTGATAATACTCTAAGGGCATCATGGATGATTTTAAACAAAGAAGTGCTCTTTGTTCATCGGTTATTTTTTTCACTTTAATAGGTTGCACATCAACGAATTCCATTGGTACAAACGATTTATTATGCATTCTCAATGTAGGCAATGTTGGGTATCTGCTGAGCAAAAACAAATACAAATGCATCAACTGGAAGGATTTCAATTTACTAACTTTAATTCAATGCCATAATTTTCTTTATAGTAATGTTCGACTGTAACAATACTCTGATGATCGTTTCTCTTCCATAAAAATGTCTGTTTGGATGATGCCTCACCGAATCCATCGATTTTGTAGGCGTTCGTTTTATTGGCCACGTGCGAACGGACAGGTAGGTCTTATTTCATACAGACAACTTCACTCTTACACAGAAAGTAGAAGAACTTACTTTTGCATTGATTGAGTAAAAATTCAATTTCGCCATGATAATAATCACCATTTCTGTTGCGATCAAGAAACTTCACAATATCTTTCATTTCGGCTTTTTGATCCTTTTGCTTATTCTTATAATGTTTCTTCCCAAGTGGACTGTGAAGCATAACTTCACAGAGAAAATCAATGAATGATTGTTCTTTCATAAAAATAGTATGGCTCACTACAATAGATATATAAAATACAAATGTTATTTTTGGATAAATTCATTTCATTAACGCTTACCATCGAGATTCATCAGTAGTCGATTAGTACCATTGGTAAAGACAAGACATGAATAGAAACCACGCCATAAAGCTTTACCTAAACCAAGATCCCAGTAACCATGCTTATTTTCTAATATGGGTTGTGCAAAAAATGATCGATTATAAATATAAGCAGCATTTGATGAACAATTTTCATGTAATACAATCGATAACATTTGTTGAAGTACTTTGATATCATTAACATTGATGTTAGAATCATTTTTCGTATTGTAAAATTCGTCAAGAGAACGTAACAAACTCAAATCAATCGGATTACCCACTCGTTTGATAGAAATTTGATATTCTTCTTGACGATAAAATCTATTCGGTGCCATTTTTGTCGTAGTGATTCCCTGAATGAAATATTTAAGAATATAACAATCAAATATGAAATCGAGAGAAAAAAAACTTCACTTACAGTTTCATCAATATTTGGCAATGATTGATCTATTGTAAAGATTATGTGATGATTATCGAAAACAATTTTATGTTTATTTATTTGCGGATATGTCCGACAATATTCATGTAACCAACATTCATACAACGCTCTAGTAGAGAATGATTATTATAAAAATGAAACATATGCATATACATGTTTACCGTCGATGATAACGGTGAACTATTGAAGAATATTTATTTTTTATTTGAATATCATATTGATAAACAAGACCACTTTGAGGAAATTTAACAATTGGAAAGTAGTTTATCTGAACTGTTATATGGTCGCCAATTTTTCCCAACTCATTTGGCTTTGATGGCCGAGTATTTGACTTGAACTGATCAATAGTTAAATCTGATACCATCCATTGAGAATCTGAAACTAAAGTTTTTTGTTTCAGAGAAATACCATGATCTCGATCACTGCTCATTGGAGCTACTGAATCATCAGTTGATAAACAAGAAACTGCTTGAGTTTGTGATGTACCACGTCCTTGACCTTTTAGCTGCCTTGATATCGATATAAATATAGCATAAAAATTAAAAATTCATAGCAATACCAATCTATATATTGCATCATGAAAGTTATGTTACTGGGTTTTTTCCCAGAGTTCTTTTGTTTTAATGTTCTGTTTCAATGTGTCATTCAAGTGACAAAACATAAAGCAACAACAAAATGATTCATGCCTTTTTAAATACTCATTATGATAACAGAAAACATGGAAAGAATTATCAATATTACATAATGAAATAAGCCATGTGTAAAAAATCTTTGCACAACATGTCTGGTCGATTGTAATCCTCTTACAGGTCACTAAAGAAGTTTAAATTTTCTTTTCTAGCTTTAACTTATCTCATCGAGTAAAAATAATTGATTGTAGGTAAAAAAAAATGATGTTTTCACAAATTGCTAAATAAAAAAGGTGGTAGTAACCATCTTTGTTCACTTGTCGGATATCTCGATACAGTTAAAAAGAATTAAATGCAGTCAGTTAAAACGATAGTTTGATGCATCTTTCTAAGTGAATGTTCAGATTTGTTACTCTGACTTCGGACTAGTTTACAGTGAATATTTATTTAAAATAAATTAAAATAATAGTACTTCTAATAAGTTTATTCGTTTTCTGTCATGCATACCTTCTCTAGACGAGAATTTAATTTTCTATGAAATCATTGATTACAGTGAACAAGAAACCAATAGCCATAAACATTTTTCAAATGAATCGTTGGCTTTTCAACTTTTGATATTAAGACGCAAGCGATTTCGATCATTTACTGAAACAAGTAAAAAGAAAAGATATTGGAGCAATCTACGCTCTACAAAACTGCTGCATACAAAAAATTTTTATACATAGATTTTTCTGAATGAATAAAACAATTGATACTATAATAAATATTTGAAAGCCTTCTAATATTTAGAGTAAATGTTTATAGATATAATGCTTTTTTTTATTTGATTGTTTTATGAACATTTTTTTTCATTAGGACATTCTGTAACTAATTCGACTTTTATTTAGATCTTTGTTTAGCATGTTTATTGAATTACAATAGTAGCAAAATGCTTAATCTTGCACAAAAACTTAAAAACGACAATAATAGCTTATGTAAATATAACATTCAAACATAGAATAAGCTGATCTTCTATAACTTGTTTTCATAGATCAATGGATTAAAGAGGCCAATGAACCGGTATTTGAAGTTAAAATATCTGCTTGACAATCACCAAAATAACTAGCTTGATTATGTGATAAAACGCAAATGCCATAATAGTGAACACAAGCTGCAGCCACAACAAATACATGAAAAAGTTGATGACTTTGAAACTAAATGAAATAAAAAAAAAAAGCTTTTAATAAAAAATAAAGAAAATTTTGATCATACCCAAATATCAAAAAGACCTGGAGCTAATCGTTCAGGTATTCGAGCTATTAAAATCATAGCAAAGAGTCACATAAAAATAGAATCAATGAACCATATGAATACTTACCAGCATAAAGACCTGCACCAATAACATAAAGTGTAGCTACTAAGAGTAAATATTGAGTAGCACCAGCTAAAAGAAACAAAAAATAAATTCATTTGATCGAAGTTCTCAAGACAATTACAGATCTTCTTGAAATTATTAAAAAAGACAACGTAGTTGCAGTTGCTAATTATGACAAGATAGTTTTATCATATCTATTTTGGCGTAGATTTTCTTTAAATGTTTGTCATGATTTTTGGGGTCCAAAGTTTTACTTCCACAGTCATTTTAGATCGCATTTTACAAAACTATGTATCGTTAATTTTCAAATTCTCTCAAAACTTAGTGAACATTAACCATGAAACTTCAGTATTGTGATGCTATGGTCATTGAGATCTATCGATCTAACCGTAAGACCATCCTTACGTTTAAAATTCATGAAAATGGTTTCCAATTTTAAAAAATTTCGTTCAGAATTCATGATAAGTTTCTCAAGTTCTGTAGAAAAAATGCCAATATCAAAATACAAAAGTGCAATTGCAGTTCTGGCTCCATCATTTTTATCCAATGTGTACTTCGAAGCTTTTCGGAAAGTTTGAAAAAAATTCCACGCACTGTATCGAAAATCAATTTACGAGGAAGAATAACTTTAACATTGCAATATAGTCAGAATTTCTCTCAAATGACATGTTACTTGTTGCTTAATTTTCAAGCAATAAAAATGTTAGTTATACAACGCTTCATCATACCTGTAAAAGCATGTTCGAAACCATGCCGAAATATATAATGACAAGTTGGAATAAAACCAAAAATTCCAAATGTAATAAATAGTACTATAAAAGAAAAAAAAAACTTTGCGAAAAATCTGTTATTTTTTCTTAAAAGAAAAATACTTACAAACACGATAAACTCGATAATCTGATGAATCAAATTTATCCCACATAGAAATAACTATACATGTTATACCCAATAAACCAATTAATGATAAATATGCAATTTTTGTTCCAAATTCACAATAAAATTGATAATAAAGTAATGGAACAACTGAACCAATAATTAATATTGCTATTCCACAATAATCAAGTCTAAAATATCACTAACACATTATAAAAAAGAAAACAAGAAAATTATTTTTTATATCTTACCTGCCAAAAAACTTGGAAAATTTTGGTGAATGACAATAAAATGTATGATATAATGTTGAACAAAGTAAACATACAATAGCTCCAAGAAAAAATGCACCAAATATTAATTTTTTTTCTATATGTACTTCAGTAGCCGGTTGTGTAAGAAAATATATTGCAATTCCAATAAAAACAAAAGTACCTAATAGATGTGTCCATATATTAACTGTTTCTGTATGTAAACGAAATATTGATGCAAAACATTGTTTAACACTTGGCATTGGTGGACGATGTCCAGATAATAAAAATTCATTATCAATAAGCCAATGTGGAAGATGACTATGATCGACAACATAATCAACAACAAATTTACCAACTTCTTTTGCTTGTTCAACACATCTTGTTGGAACTTCAAAAACTGAATCAATTAAATCATGTGTATGATCATGCAAATCATTCGAAGATTTTTCAGAGATATCATTAAGTGATGTACTCTAAATAAAACATTGTTTGAAATAAGAAATACTGATTTGTTTTTCTAAGAACTATAATCAAAATAAATTTCAGAGCATTTTCTCTTATGTGTTACTTCATGTTTAGATAAGAGATACGCAGAATAAGTTTTTTTAAGCCCGGTCCTAACCTATTAAAAATAGTTCCAGAATTTATTCTTATTATATCTGGAAAACTTTTTAAATACTTACTTGTTTTGTTTTACTTAGGTGTCGACTAGCATTTTTTTTGGGGCGTCATATCACTTGAATTATGTTCTGATTCATGGCTTATAAGATAACATGCTTGAAACCATAGAATATTTAATATTATTATCTTTCATTCCAGTTAGGACAAATATTTTCTCGTAGTGCGGCCTTAACAATATTCCAAATTTTGATCATGCATATCTGTAGTTGCGATAATATGACACTTGAAGCAAGTTTTACGCGCCCATTTAAGATATCGCCTTCGATGAAAAGTTTCGGTACTGGTTCCCGTTCCATTGGAAACACACAAGGAATATTATATTTACTTAACCAGTTAGAGTACACTGTCAAAAGATGGTCTAATGAACATTCACTTGAATCGAATCACGCGAAACTGATTTGAAAATTTGAATTCTTATTTGTTTTATTCTTGAGATGGTGAAATAGAAATATTAAAAATAAGAAAAATCTGAATTTTGATTAGAACAAGAATTCAGAAGCCAAAACTTAACTTCAATGAATCTATTCAACTTGTCCCGAAAACAAAATGAAAATGCATAGTAAAAGAATCAAGAGGCTACAGGAACTAATTTTTTTGTACGATTAATCTAAACACATCTCAATATAAATTAATTTGTCATTGGATTGATGTTTTTCAAGTAGATTGATGCTCAAAAATACAAACTTTTCAACATCAAATAATTGTTTGCTAAGTCGCTTTAATTCCAGTGGATACGTTCTAAACATGTTAGAATCGATTTATATTGATCAATACTTAAATTTTTTACAACTCACTGACAATATCGAATAGATCTGTGATTAGAGTGATGCAAAGCCCATTAGGTCCAAAATTTTCTGACTCAGACTATCTTTTGATCAATATGTCATGAAACGATCCCCTATGAAAAATTCTGCTACATAATGTCGATTAAATTATTCTTTCAGCAAGTTTATGGTTCAAACCTTCCACACTCACGCATTCAAGTGCTAATAAATTGAGCATTTCTGCAAATTTTGAAAAACTTATCAACACTTACTTGGGAACTAGCCAATAGTCTTTGTCGAATTTCATATTGATTTGAATCTCGATCACTCATCAATGTTGTCTCAGATAATGAATGTTTTATCATTCTCGTCTATGACTGAATAATTTTCATAAATAAACGGAAATCTGAAATAATTCTACACAAATACATATATTCAAATATTTAATGAATTTAAAAATGTGAACTGAGAGAAAAGAAAAGAAAAACAACAACATCAAACAACAAGAATAATCAAAGCTTAAGTTATATATCAATAATCATGACTACTGTTGAGATTGTAATGGATATCCATTCATTATTGAGCCATTTTTTGATGACATTAACATTTGATGATGAGAATAAACATTTGCTTGTTGTTGATTTGGATCAACTATTGGTTGAGGTAAAAATGATAATGGATTCAAATAATCTAAATATTTATTTAAAAACAAAAATATTTTTCTTTTTTAAAGTTTTGATTTTTACATACTTGGCATTTGTGATGGTCCACGTACACGTGGCATTTGATTGGCATATGAAGCTGATGCTGCAGCTGCAGCAGCAGCTGATGATGGAGTCATATAATTGAGATAAGCAGAAAATGCTGATTGAGTTTGTGGTGAAGCATAACCAACAGCTGAGCCAGCAGCTCCATTACGAACAACTTGTGATGAAGATGGTGGATATCTTGATCCAGGACTTGT